CTTTCTAGGGTGTGCACTCTCCTGGATACCAGCCTATGAGTTATTTCACTCAATTTAGGTCTTGAGTCCACTTACTAACAGTAACTACAATGGCTTATTAATCAGGATCCCCATGAAAATTTTAACCGATTGGGCAAGGTTTGAGAGATAGTTTTGCTGTGGGCCTACCTAGAGTCCCTCCAAACAGGATATATCTTGAGTGAGGCTATGCAATTGCCTGCACTCAAGTGGTGTTCCCCAAGCTCAGTTGGACTGCCAAGGGTGTCCATTTTCATCGAAATACCCTGCAATTCATATGTTCCACTGGCCACATTTTTCACTGATAAAGCCAGTTGTCGTGCCTGTTTGAAGTCCAGTTGGGCTTCAGCGAGTAGCTGTTTTTGCATACTTACATCATTAATTCCACGTACCAGACAGACAATCATTAAGGGTTAAACCAACGTCACAGTCTTCTGCCAGTCGTCTTAATCTAGTCAAAAATCCTGCTACCAATTTCCCTGGTTCCAAATTGCCAAGTAAAACGATAAGGTCTCAGAATTAGAGAAGGCTTGGGGTCATGGTATTCCTTAACTGTGTCCGTCAATTCTTGAAAAGTTTTGGTATTTGGCACCTCAAGGAAAGTTAGGTTTCTAATAGCTGAAAAAGGTGCACCTCCACATGCTGTCAGGAGAACTGCTTGTTGCTTTCTGTCTGTCACATGTCATTTGCTCAGAAAAAATAACATTCTTTCCACATACTTGACCCAGTCCTTGATGCAGGGGTCAAACGACTCAAACTTGCCAATCAAAGGCATGATTTAAGAAATGCTTACCCCAACTCAAAGATGACTATTATGATTGAGTTTCCTCAGGATCGTGTTTTACTCCGGTCGCCACTGAAATAACTCACAGAGGCTGGTGTCAGGCACCAAGTCACCCTTTACTTACACATGAACCATCCTTGACTTTAGTACTATCTCATTCAGAGTCAGCTATCAAAGCGTCAGAATCTCTGACACTCCCTGTTTTATACGTCAGCCAGGGCTCCCTGATCAGACCAGATTAACAGCCCAAATCAGGGAGCTCATATTCTATGACATCTATTTGGCAACCACAGCTCAAATTTACTGCTTCTTAATAATGTTCACAAATCAATGCCAACAACTGTAGCTACAGTTAAGGAATATTGTGACCCGAAGCCTCCTCTAATTCTGAGACCTTATCATTTTTACTTGGCAATTCGAGAACCAGGGGAATATGTATCAGGATTTTTGACTAGGTTAAGATGACTGGCTGAAGACTGTGACTTTGGTTTAGCCCTTAATGACTGTTTGATATGTGGAATTAATGATATAACTATGCAAAAATGGCTACATGCTGAAGCCCAACTGGACTTCAAACAGGCACTACAACTGGCTTTGAGGGGAGGCAATGGCCTAGTGGTATTATTGGCGGACTGTTAATCCAGAGACCAAGATAACGTTTTGGAATTAAGAATCTAGTGATAACCATGACTCTGTAGTTAATTGTTGGAAAAATTCATCTGGTTCACCCATGTCCTTACCTGGTCTGGCTTACATGTGACTCCAGACCCACAGCAATGTGGTTGACTCTCAACTGCCCTCTGGACAACGGGGATGAGCAATAAATGCTGCCTAAAAGTGATGCCCTCATCCCGTGAATGAATAAAGGAAAAAAAAATTATAGATTATTTTGGAGGAAATGTTGTGTTTCATATGGATATGCCATGTTTATCTAAATATGTCAATTCCTTAAGATTGAAAAATATAATTTTAGCCATCTTAAAATATTGAATGAAAAACATCTCTTTCCCATCACAAAACATTGCCGAACAAACAGGAAAGCAACTTCTGCAACAGGTCAATAGCTTTCAAAAGGGGGAGGGGGAAGATAATTTGCTTGTTGACTAAACGGTGAAGTTATATCTCAATTTAATGTGAAGGTATTTCTCCTGTAAACGCAATAGTTGAGTTCTTGTGTGACCTTGGGCTGTAGAAAATCATCATAGAAAATTGCATTATAGGGAAATCGTTGTACTGTACAGCAGAAAGTTCGCATTATCCAAACAGCATCCATTATTCATCAAACACGTTACAGCCAATTCGTGTTGACGAAACATGTGTTATAGCAGAAATACTTGTACTGAAAAATTAAGCATATTAAAACCATTCAACTACAGTTTGGGGTTTCTGCTGGTCTTGATTATTGAATCTTACAAAACATAAAAGTGAGCTATGTGGATCTTGCAGCTGCTCCTGGGATTGCAGGCTTAGTTAAAGTTTCATTCTAGTTCTTTTTTACAGTTTTACAGTAACTATAGTCATTATAATTTACTAATCAGTTTTTAAAATTTTGTTTATTAACATTAAAAAAGACAAAAACCAAACAAAAAATTTTTTTCAAACTGACTTTTTTTGGAACGGTATTTTTTAAGGGTCTACAGTGGACAGCTGAGCTTTTTTATTATTAATTCAGAAAGTAAAAAAGTCTATATGCGTTTTAGAGTTCTTTGTTAACATTGCAAAGGTCTTTGTTTTGAAAAAAAATCAAACAGTTTTTTAAAAAATAAGTTGTGCATTCGTTCTGGAGAGTCCTACACGTGGTCAGCTCCGGTGAAGTTTCTTTTTCTGCAAGGAATTTATTGAAGAGGAATAGTTTTTATTCAGTTAATCAGCTAAGTAGTTAATTTTAATTTAATTTTTATATGTTTGACATACATTTTTAAAATTTTTTTCCATTTTAACATTATTTTCTGTAGGTAATCATGTATTTAAATATAAGCTGTTATTGAAACTTTTTTTTAGGTTTCATGTTATTAAGGCCATATACAAGGTACAGAGTGAGGTGGCTAATAGATTTAGAAAAGTTATTACCCAGCAGGATCAGTCAGATAGATGGGTGACTGTCAGGAAGGGTGAGAAGGTAATTCAAAAGTCTCTGGTGGCTATTTCTCTATCAAGTAGATATTCAGTTTTTGGAACAGTTGAACAGGATAGTCTCTCTAAGGAAAATGGAAGGGCCAGTCAGTTATTGGATACTTGGAACGATTCTTATGTTAGGCAGCGTTTGACAAGAGTTAATAAAGTGATTGGTATAAGGGGCTCTCCTGTCAGGGGCACAGACAAGTGTTTCTGTGGCAGTGAATGCAAATTTTGGATGGTTTGTTGCTTTCTTGGTGCTAAGATTAAGCATGTTTCTAAACCTTTCAAGCATATTTTTAAAGGTGAGATTGAGAAGCCAGAAATTATTGTACACATTGGTAGGAATGACATTTTTAGGGCAAAGATTATAGGATTACAGTGCGAATTTAAGAGGTTAGGTACAAGATTAAGAAATAAAATCTTTAAAGTAGTAATTTCTGGTTTACTCCCAGTGCCAAACTCAAATGAGGGAAGGAACAAAAGGTTAAAAGAAATAAATCAATGGCTGAAGAGCTGGTGTATTGTTCAAGAATTCAGGCTTTTGGACAATTGGAATGTCTTTTGGGATAGAAAACACCTGTCCAAAAACAATGGGTTTAACCTAAATTGGAAAGGGAACACTATCTTAGCAAGGAGATTTGCTCATTCTATTAAGGGAGATTTTATACTGATAGAGAAGGTGAGTGGAGGAATTCTGAGTACCATTGTAAAAGGAAGGATTGTTGGGGTAAGTTCTGAATGTGAGGAGAGCACATCGGTTGGAAAAGAAAGACAAGAGAGAGTCAGAGTACGTAGTAACTCTGAAGAACTAAACTGCATTTATTTCAATGCAAGGGGTCTTATAGGTAAAGCTGATGAACTTGGTACGTTTAAGAACATGGGACTGGGACTTCATAGCTATTACAGAAACTTGGCTGAGAGATGGACAAGACTGGCTGCTCAATGTTCCCGGTTTTAGATGCTATAGGAAGGATAGAAAAGGAGGCAAGAAAGAAGGGGAGGGTGGCATTTTTGATTAAGGAAAACATTACTGCTGTAACTAGGGAAGGTATTTCTGAAAAATCGTCCAGCGAAAGTATATGGGTAGAAATTACAAATAAGAAAGGAAAGATTACTTTGATGCGATTGTACTAAAGGCCCCCAGTAGTGAGACAGAAATTGAGAAACAAATATGTAGGCAGATCTCAGATATATGTAAGCGTAGTAAGGTTGCAATAATGTAATAATTTTAATTATCCAAACATTGACTGGGACTAGCATAATGTGAAGGGTTTGGATGGTGCAGATTTTGTCAAATGTGCTCAAGAAAATTTTAGCAATATGTGGATGCTCCTACTAGAAAAGAAGCAAAACTAGACCTTCTTTTGGGCAATAAGTCAGGGCAGGTGACTGAAGTAAAAGTGAGGGAACACTTTGGGTCTAGCCATCATAATTTTATTAGTTTCAAAGTGGTTATGGAAAAGGATAAGAGTTAAAGATTTTAATTGGAGCAAGGCAAATTTTAGGTATCAGACAAGAACTTTCAAAAGTTGATTGGAGTAGACTGTTCACAGGTAAAAGGATGTCTGACAAGTGGGAGGCGTTCAAGAGTGTGATGATGATATTTTGAGGCATTTTGTTCCTGTTCGAGTAAAGGGTAAGGCGAGTAAGATTAAGGAACAATGGACGAATAAAGATATTGAGCTTCTAGTCAAGAATAAAAGAGAATCTTCTTTTAGATAAAGACAACTTGGTTTAATTGAATCTCTTAATCAATATAAAGAGTGTTGGGGCATTTTTAGGAGAGAAATCAGGAAGGCTAAGAGGGGATATGAGATAGCGTTGGCAGATAAGGTTAAGGATAATCCAAAGCAATTCTACCAATTCGTTAAGAGCAAGAGAGTAACTAGAGACGCGGTTGGGCCTCTTAAAGATCGAGGAGGTCATCTTCCTGTTGAACCCCAGGAGATGGGAGAGATACTAAATGATTTTTTCGCGTCAGTTTTTACTATGGAGAAAGAAATGGAGTCGAGAGAATGAAGAGAAACAAACGTTGTTGTTTTAAAAACAGTTCACATTACAGAAGAGAAGTTCAGGAGGTCTGAGAGATTTTAAGGATGGATAAATCCTTGTGGGAAGTAAGGGAGGAAATTATGAGACCCTCTGCAGAAATATTTACATCATCTATAACTATGGGTGAGGTGCCCGATGACTGGAAGTTGCTAATGTTGTACCTTTGTTTAAGCGAGGTTATAAGGAAAATCCAGGGAACTATAGACCCATGAGTCAGATTTGAGTTGTGGGTAAATTGTTTGAGGTGATTATAAAAGATAGGATTTATGGATATTTAGAGAGGCAAAAATTGATTAGGGATAGACAGTATAGTTTTGTGCAAAATCATGTCTCACAAACTTGATTGAGTTTTTGAGGAAGTTACCAAAAAGGTTGATGATAGCAGAGCAGTAGACATTGTTTATTTGGATTTTAATAAAGCCTTTGGCAAGGTTCCACATGGTAGATTAATTAAAGTTAGGTCACATGGGATTCAGGGTGAGCTTGCCAATTGGATACACAATTAATTTAATGGCAGGAGACAGAGAGTAATGGTGGAGGGTTGCTTTTCGGACTGGAGGCCTGTGACCAGCAGTGATCCACAGGGATCGGCTCTGGGTCCTCTTTTCTTTGTCATTTATATAAATGGTTTGGATGAGAATATAGAAGGCATAATGAGTAAGTTTGTGGATGACACCAAAATTGGTGGTATTGTAGACAGTGAAGAAGGTTTTCTGAGATTACAAAGGGATCTTGATCAAATGGGTCAATGGGCTGAAAATTGGCAGATGGAGTTCATTCTGGATAAATGCGAGGTATTGCATTTTGGTCCAACAAACAAGAGTAGGGCTTATACAATTAATGGTAGGGCCTTGGGTAGTGTCATATAACAGAGGGCCCTCGGGGTACAGGCACATCATTCTTTGAAGTTTGCGTCACATATAGACAGGATGATTAAAAAAAGGCATTTGGCATGCTTGCCTTCATTGAGTATAGGAGTTGGGATGTTATGTTGAGGTTGTACAGGACATTGGTGAGGCCTCTTCTGGAATCCTGCTTCTAGTTCTGGTCGCCAGTTATAGGAAAGATATTATCAAGCTGGAGAGTGTTCAGAAGTGATTTACCAGGATGTTGCCAGGTATAGAAGGTTTGCATTATAAGGAAAGGCTGGATAGGCTGGGACTTTTTCAGTGAAGCGTAGGAAGTTGAGAGGTGACCTGATAGAAGTTTATAAAATAATTAGAAGTACAAATAGAGTTGACGGTAGTTGTCTTTTCCCTAAGCTGGGGAATTTCAAGACAAGCGGGCACATTTTTAAGGCGAGAGGAGAGAGATTTAAAAAAGACATAAGAGACAAATTTGTTACACAGATGGTAGTTCACTTGTGGAATGAACTTCTTGATGAAGAGGTGGATGAGGGTACATTTGGATGGCTATATGAAGAGGAAAGGTTTGGAAGGATATGGGCCAGGAGCAGGCAGGTAGGATGAGTTTAGTTTGGGATTATGTCTAGCATGGGTTGGTTGGACCGAAGGGTCTGTTGCTGGGCTGTATGACTCTGACTCTGTAAAAACTGTGTTAATTGGCATTCTTCATGCTTTGATACATGGCTAAATCAGAGAGGACCACAAATTCTATTTGATTGGACCACATAACATTTCTCTAAATCCAGTCATCCTTCCTCCATTCTTGCTGATGTCAGGTACCAGATTAGCTCCAGTGGCAAGGAAACCTCGACGATTGGGGGTTTCCCTATGTTGTAGTCATTGATATCACATGAGTATCTTCTGTCTGGATCTCCACTGAGGATTTGTTTTGGATTGTGTTTTGTCTGGTTCCTCTCCTCAGACCTTACCATCGTGGATTTCCTTGCCATTAGAACTGGACAAGTAGACCGGGTAGTTAAGAAGGCATTTAGCATGCTTCCCTTCATTGTTCACACCTTTGAGTACTGGCATTGGGACGTCATATCATAAACTCCACTGGACTCACCACATAAACACAGTGGCTACAGAAGCAAGTCAGAGGGGCTAGGAATACCGTGGTGAGTAACTCATCTCCGGACTCCCCAAAGCCTGTCCATCATCTAGAAGGCATAAGTCAGGAGTGTGATGGAATACTCCCCGCTTGCCTGGGTGAATGCAGCTCCAACAACACTCAAGAAGCTCGACATCATCCAGGACAAAGCAGCCTGCTTGATTGGCACCACACTCACAAGCATCCCCTCTCTCCACCACCGACGCTCAGTCACAGCAGTGTGTACTATCTAAAAGATGAACTGTAGAAATTCACCAAAGATCCTCAGACAACACCTTCCAAACCCATGGCCACTTCCATCTAGAAGGACAACAGCAGCAGATATATGCGAACACCATCGAGTTCCCCTCCAAGCCACTCACCATCCTCATTCAGAAATATATCGCCATTCTTTCACGGTCGCTGGGTCAAAATCCTGGAATTCCCTTGCTAATGACATTGTGGATCAACCCACAGCAGGTGGACTGCAGCGGTTCAAGAAGGCCTCTCACCACCACCTCCTCAATGGCAACTAGGGACAGGTAATAAATGCTGGGCAGATAGCAATGCCCACATCCCACAAATGAATTAAGAAAAAATGTTGAGGTTATACAGGACATTGGTGAGGCCTCTTCTGGAGTACTGTGTGCAATTCTGGT